ATGTTAACTTTTCAGAATTCCACTGGAGACTATGGTTTAAGGAAATGTGTCTGGTTAAGTTGACTGGGGGTAGATTGTGGTGGATTAACTAATGGTCACCTTGTAACACCCAGCTGAACTGAATCATCATGGGTCTGGTGTGGAGGTCCCATGTGAGGATGGTTGCCAACAGCACTACAGGAGAACTGGAGGGAAAGGTGGTGTGCTGTTGAGTCTCCTGGAGAAGCTTGCCATGCTGGTTTTCCTGATATGAACTCAGCTGTTCTCATCAGAGAAGGAGCTGGGGTCCTTCCTGTCACTGAAGATGGCTGCAGTTCTTTTGGGGGGAAGCTCTGGTCCTTACTCCGAGCGTTGCTTCCTGGCTGCAGTGCGGGTCCCTCAGCCTATTAGGCACAACCCTTCATCCTGCTGGCGCAGATTTTCTAGCTTCTCCCCCTGACCTTGGGCCTTCCAAGTGCAAATCCACAAAACAGACTTGTAGGAGACATTGTCCTGGGCTCCAGGCCTCTGGCTGGACACACTGGAGGGCATTGTTATGGGCCTGAGGCCTTCAGCTGGACTCGTGCAGGACACTGCCATGGGATCCAGCCCCTTAGCTGGATTCTGTGGTTTCTAGTGTGTGGACAGATCTCCTGCACTGTGGGAACCACTCAGACAGTTTTAACGCTCAGCGGCATCTAAGGACACCTTAGGATGTGACTCTGCTTGTCTAGCACAGGTGCACAGTGGGATATAGTTACATAGCCGTGACTAGCACAGGTAAACACACATGCACTGGCTTCAGCACTACGTGAGAATATAAACATGCGATAACAACCTGTATAATTATACAATAAAGACACATACGGCTCTGGCATTCTTGCACTCTTTTTGTTTCTTTTTTTTTTTTTTTTTTTTTTGTGGAACCGGGGATTGAACTCAGGCCCTTGCGCTTGCCAGGGAAGCACTTATTCCACTGAGCCATCTCCCCGGCCCCATTCTTGTACTCTTGTATGCTGCTCTGCTCCACGATGCCTGCTGTTGTTGCTGTCTTCAACATTTAACCTTGGGACCTCACCCTCAAAAATCTCCTTTGGACCCCTGAAAGGGGATGAAATGCACTCTTTTACATGACTCTTTGAATATTATAAAATAATCCTATAAATTATGTATCCTGCATTAAATCTTTTCTCTTGTAAAGCCTTACTACAACAGGCTCCTTCTGTTTCAGTTTTGGTCTGCAAGAGTCACTTCTTTGCAGTGAGCACTTGGTTTGAAGGAGCAATTGGTCTCTTGGGCGATCACTAGGTAATCTCTGAGTCAGGAGCTGCAGGACCACTATACTTGGCTTAGATTAGTAAAATATTGTAGAACTCTGATGGTCTCGGGCCCACTACTATAGCAGAAGATAGAAAAGGCCTCCCGTGCAATATTTCCAATCGACCCATATTTTCTCAGTTTTGAGGATGTTTTAAATCCTCATATGGGCTATTGGCAGTAATCAGAGCAAAGACTCAGCAGTTTCTTTCTTTTTTTTTTTTTTGGCAGAACCGGGGATTGAACTCAGATCCTTGCACTTGCCGGGGAAGTGCTTATTCTACTGAGCCATCTCCCTGGCCCCTTCAGCAGTTTCTTGACAAAACTTTTCTAGAGTTTGCTTTAGGATCTTGTCAAGTGTCCCGACCTTTCTGGAAGAGTGACATCTTCATGTAGGACCCTTTTCAATGATCCTTGCCATACTCACTGCAGTAAAGGTAGCAGAGACAGCTAGATTCACCATTCTAGAGTAAAGGCAGCCCTGCTTGACCTTTCTGATGAAGACCACCCAAAAGAGGAAAACTATTCCTGTGAACCTTTGGAAAGACCTAAGGCTTCTCTTCAAAAAGAAAGGCTCCAGTATGGTTTTAGATGCACACAGGTAGACTCACTAATGACCCTAATTCATCATAGTTTAAGCAGACACTTGTATTGAGACTCTTCCATTAGACCTGTAGTGTAGGTAATCTTGCTGAGTCTGTATCTCTTGTCCTCATTTTTGATTTTACTGTAGTTTTTTTGGTCGAACTGTTTTTTACAGGAGGTTTATTTATTTATTCTTTCTTTGGCGCTAAGGACCGAACCCAGGGCTTCCACCTTGCTAGGCAAACGTTCTACTGCTGAGCCAAATCCCAGCCCATTTCTTGCCCTCTTGATAATTTCCTTTTACCATATTTCTTTCCTCCAGAGCAAGCAGGAGAATCTGACCTGGTCCTCATATTTGGGCTCTACACTCCCACCCTAATAGTTTAGTCACTTTCCTGCTAAATTCATCAAGGTTGCTCCCATTGAGCAGGCAGCCCACGAGCCCTTCACCATACACGTTAGCTCTGTCTTCTGACAAGTTTTTTTTCCTATCCAGCCACTGAGGTACCAACATTACAAGAGAGCACACAATCCTCAGTAGGCAGGGCCTGGAGCCTTTCAGCAAGAAGTGGCTGCATTGGGCTGGGAGACAGCTCAGTGGACTAAGCACCTGCTTAGGAGAGAGCATGGACTGGGGTTCGGACTCTGGCACCACATGCTGCACCAGCCCCATTGCTGGGCACGCTGCGCAAGCCACCAAGACCGGGCATGGTGGTGCACACCTGTAATCCCAGTGCTGGGGAGGCTGAAGACAGGAGGATCACTGCGAGTCTGAGCTGTGTGGTGAGACCCTGTACCAAATACAATTTTTTAAAAGTAGATATATGGAGATGGAGACCCCCACACCCTCAGCACCCCATAAAGAATTACAGGTATTTTTATCTATTAGGGAAAAAATGAGGCAGGAGATTAGGGTGTGGCAAATTGGCTGGGGAAGTAGGTGTAAACTTCTAAAGTTAAAAGTTTTTTTTGTCTTTTTTTTTTTTTTTTGGCGAAACCGGGGAATTGAACTCAGGCCCTTGCACTTGCCAGGGAAGCGCTTATTCCACTGAGCCATCTCCCCGGCCCTAAAGTTAGAAGTTTTGAAGTTTAAATTTTTAATGTCAGTTCCAGAGATCCAGGAGACCAAACCCTGAACCCAGAAACAAACTAAAAGTGCTATATTCAATTCTTCTCAGTTTTTTAAAAATTTATTTTTATTTTTTTGGTGGAACCGGGGACTGAACTCAGGCCCTTCAAGCGCTTATCCTACTGAGCCATCTCCCCAGACCCCTCTTCCCAGGTTTTTAATAGGCCCACGTAGAGTGGACCTCAGGCTGAGGAGCAGGACATACAAAAGACAGCCTGCATTAAGCTTGTAGACAGTTTACCTCTTTCAATGGCCCACCTTGCATTTTGCAGGGTATAATTGTTTTTTTAGTTTTAATTGGGCCACCCTTCGCAGAGTACTTTTGTGTGTGTGTGTGTGCGTGTGTGCGCGCGCGTGTGCATGCATGCTAGGGATTGAACTCAGGACCTTGTGCTTGCCAGGCAGGTGCTTGTGCCACTGAGCTATCTTCCCAGCCCATTTCTTTTCATACCTTTAATACTTTCTTAAAATGTCAAACCTCATTACCTTTTATGCTTGTCTAGACTGTCTTTGTTTAGGACAGTGAAAACTAGAAAACACCTCTGGAAAGAACTCTCAGAACCTGGTAACAAAAATGCTATTTGTTATGTAAGCAAAACCCTTGTACATATTTTAAATAAGGGTTTTAAAAGATATTTCATGTATTTGGTACAGGGCCTCATTATGCAGCCTGGACTCACAGTGAGCCCTCTGTTTCAGCCTCCCCAGTGCTGGGACTACAGGTGTGTGCCACCATGTCCACTCTCAGCGGTCGGCGCTGTGTGGGGCTGCCACTGTCCTTGCACTTGCCAGACCACTGAGCTGTCGCCGTGGCCCCAGAAAAACCCTTATGAGAAAAACATACAGGCCGGGGAGATGGCTCAGTTGAACAAGTGCTTCCTTGGCAAGCATGAGGGCCTGAGTTCAATCCCTGGTTCTGCAAAAAAAAAAGAAAGAAAAACATACAGAAGCATTCACATGTGAAGTGAAGTATGTCTAGGATTTGCTTTAAAATACTTAAGGTTTTTTTCTTAAGAGAAGGGAATAGCAACATAACAAAATCAAATAGGAAAATGTTTATAATTGTTTAAGAGAAGTGGCTTCTAATTTTTTTCTCTACTTTTTATATAGGTTTGAAATTTTGTTATTTTGAAAAAGTCATGATAGTATTCTATTTCACATTCAGGGGTAATTGTACCATTATGATATAAAACTTAAAACCCCTAGAGTTTTTAAAGCTCAGATTTGTCATTGTTTATTATACAATGTATTTTCACTAACTTTCTAACTAAAAATTAGTACATCTGAGGGCGGGGGAGATGGCGCGGTAGAATAAGTGCTTGCCTAGCAAGCACAGGGTCCTGAGTTCAATCCCAGTACTGAAAACAAACAAACAAACAAAAAAAAAATGAGTATGTCTGAAAGCTACCAAATTTGAAAAAGAATTTTTTCAAAGACAATTCAAGTCAGACGAATGAATGGCTAAGCCCACAATTTCTTCCTGTTCAAGCCTTCAGAAACGAAGCCCTGTGTTTTCATGGATGGTCAGGCAAATATCTGGAAGACAAAATATGAAAATGGTAAGATGGAGGGTGGGACGCAGCAAGGCCTATTGGTTTAATTTCCTCTCTGCACTCTTTCGGGACATTTTTTCCTTTTGAGTTTTGCGAAGGACATCTGTCATGTAAGCGTTCCCTGAGGTCAGAGTGACCTTCCTAGGATTTACGGCCTAAGCAGGGCGCCTCTAGGGCCCGCTTCAGGGAGAAAGAATAAGGTCCGAAAGACTTCTCGCTTCCGGGGACTTCCCGGTTTCCAAAGTGCCCCATCGAGGGCTGCTTCCTGCACGAGTTCTGCGCAATCCCATTTCCAGAGGGCAGTCTGTACGTCTTCCTCAGGTTAAACGGAGTCTAACAGAAGTGGCAGGAGGATTCAGAGAAAGGAGAGACGCCGGGCCGCAGGCTGCTGCAGGAGGTGGGGCGAGCAAGGACTCGGCGGCGCGCAGGGGTGGAAGGCGCAGCTGCGGCGGGAGGAACACGGCCCGGCCCGCAGGTGAGGCCAGTCCCCGCGGCTTCTGAGCTCTTTCTCCCGTCGTTCCAACTACAAGAGCAGGCTGCGGGCGGTCCTGGGCCGTGCTGACCCAGGGGACAGGCCCCACAGTTGGACCCTCCTGCACGGTACTTAGTATTCCAAAGTCCCCAGCACCAGCGGAGTCGACGAGGCTGGCTCGGAAGGCTGGGGGCCCCCGGAACTCGCCCAGACTGAACAGCCCAGCCCACCCCAGCGCCTCGGGGGCTGGGCCGAGCTCGAGGACCGGCAGGGCCCTGTCCTGGTCCCTCGGGGCTGCAGGCGGGGCGGCGCTGCCGGGCCTCAGTTTCTTCTTCTGCAAACGGGGCCATATTGCATGCGATGCGCCTGGTCGCTTCGGCAGGGGTAATTTCGCAAGCGGCCCCTAGGATATTTGCTAAGATTTGCTCTGGTCCTGGAAGCGAATTTAGACTACGCAGGGGGCGGGGAGTAGTCTCCAACGTTGAGCACCCGAGAAGCGCGAAGCTGCGGGCGTCTTGAAAGCCACAGGGTCCTGCACACCAGTCCGACGCCGGTGCCTCGGTAGGCCGCTGAAGTCCGCCGCTTCACCGCCCGTAACCCGGCGCCGCAAGCCCCAAAGTCGGCCGGCTCGGGCCAGCCTAGCCACCTACGGTTTCTGTTTCCTGCTATCCCCACCCCCCGCAGCTGCCCGAGGATTTGCCCAGAGATCAGTGACGTAACGAAGCCTAAGTTCTCATTGGATGGCGGAGTTCAGCGGGCCAATCCCGGCGCTGGTCCAGAGAAATCTCGTCGGAGGACACCGACAAGCCCGGAGATTGCGGGGCGGGGTCGCGCCGCGCTGGTTCCGGGCCAGGCGCTGGGTCTGCTGCGACCGGCACGGACGGGCGCGGCCCGGCCTCCGTGTGGCCTGGGCTCGGACGGTGAGTCGGGGCGTCGCGAGCAGCGCGGGGGCCGCGGACTCAGGCGCGCCCGGGCTGGGGGCGGCCGGACGCGGCTCGGGGCAGAATCGGGCCAGGCCCGCCCTCGGCCGCGTCCGAGCCTTCCGCGCGCGTCGCCCCCTCTTGGCGTGTCCCGCCCGGAGCGCGGAGCGCGGAGCCCGGAGCGCGGGCCGCACGCGCCAGGGGCCTGGCGTGCTGCAGGAGGCCTGCCGCCGGCGTCCTCTGGCCTTTGCCTCCTGTTTTAGTTGGGTAAGCCGGTTTAGTCACTCACTTGGCCTTAGAAAAAAGTGTGTAAGTGTAACGTTGTGGAGTAAGTGGGAAGAAAAGGCCTCAGAATTCCCCGTGGAGTCCAGATTTTGACCCCACAGCATCTGTGTGCTTCCGAAGAGGGGAGGAACATTTGTCCTCGCTTCCTCTTAGACCTGTGAGCTCAAGTCATAACCCTAGCACGTTTTCTCCCAACTTAAGAAAAATCACCGTTTCCAAAAATAGAGATTTTTTTAAAATAATGGTTCCAAAATTGCAGTTTGTCTCTTAATATATGCTGTTTTAGAAGTTTTGGATTTACAGAAAAATTGAGGAGGTGAAGCAGGGTTCCCAAATACTTTAATCCTTTTCCCTCTAATGAACTATCTTAGTTATTGCATTATGATTGCGGGGTATGGACACACCTGTAACCCTGAGGCAGGAGGATTGCCCTGAGTTCGAGGCCAGCCTAGACTACATAGTGAGACCCTGCCTTTAAAAAAAAAAATCATAAAGAACATTATTACTGGCCAAAGCTTACAGTGTATTCAGATTTTCTTCTTACCTGAGCATGTTTCTGTTCTTTTTAATGCTTCTGTTCTGTGTTACTTTAGTTGTCTTTTCTCCTCTGCTTCTCTGGCTGGCATTTTCTCAGACTGTTTTGAATGAAGACTGGTGACCCAGTGCTCCTTTGCTATATCAAGCACTTGAGATGGTCAGCTTATGAAGAGAAGCGGTATCGTTGGGCTGGCGGTGTGGGAGGAGGTGTACCTGGCGAAGCAAAACCGGCCAGGGAGCGAGAGAGAGGAGAGTGAACTCCCACAGTGCCCTCGCCCCAGGGCGCCTCTCCCCAGTGGCCGGAGACTTGGGCCAGTAGTGGTGAGCCCACGGCAGGCCCTTCACTGAGGACACACAGAACCCTGTCCACCCACGACTAGGTTGCCCCAGCAACTGAGCATCAGATAACTTTTTTTCTAAAGTAAAATTTCAGTATTCAGGTTTAATTGCAGTGTTGGACTTTTTGATAAATAAGTGGGTTTGGGATGTAGTCTGGGCACTCAGTGTCTAGAAGGTTTGTCATCCTGCCCAAGCCATACATCTTAAAATTTCCACCACTTTCCAAAAGCTTTAAGGTGGGGAGCAGGTTTTTAATGGATGGGCCTTTGGGGAACACTTAAGATCCAAATACAGCAACTGGAGATGTATGTAGATAGCTGTGGCAGTAGGGTACCTCTCTGTTGGGACTTGTTCTTTTCCTAAGACTGCGCATATGTGTTACTGGGAAGAAAATCACAGAAGTGGATTGCCATTATCCTCACATCGGAGCAAAGATCTTTTGCTGACAGCAGGATTCAGTACTTGCTGCTGATTCTGTTCACCTGGCTGAGTGTTCTGCAGGTCCCTCTCCTGTAAAACTGTGTACTCTTTTTTTTTTTTTTTTTCTTTTCTCTTTTACATACTGTGTTTTGGGGAAAAACACATTATGTGCACTCTGCATTTAAGTAGCAGGGAGTTACACTGGGGCAAGTAGTTCCATATCTTATTTACAATTTTTCTGCATGGGATATTTGCCTTTTTTCTCCTTCTTATTAATTTATTAATGACATCAGTGTGACTTAGGTGTTTTGTACTTCGATTATAGTCCAGTGCTACTTATTGTGTTGCTCTATTTGTAGCTTTGGCCAGTAGAAGCTCTTTCAGGTTAGCTACTGTGTTTCTGTAAGTGCTTTTTATTTGTTCTTTAAGATAGGATCTCCTTCTGGAGACCAGGCTGCCCTCAGACTCACAGTGTACCCTGGTGGCCTTGAACTCCTAGTCCTCCTACCTCAGCCTTGTGAGTGCTGGGATTACAGATGCATTCACATGCATCTGGAAGATCCCTCGGATCTGAGTCCAGCCTGGGCTACCAAGAGTTAAAGACCAGCCTAAAGCATAGCAAGACAGCGTCTCAACACCCCCAGTTGAATCACAAGAAATTACTTCTGTGTCACCACTCTTAAACTTCAGACAGCTTGGCCAACTGGATAAAACCTTTCTCCTTATTAATTAGTAAAGAGATAAACTAAGGCTATGGAGGACTTCTTAGATGTTACTTCCCAAGAGATTAACAGGCTGAACTCTGTGTGTGCCCACCACAAAAGGCTGTAAACCTCAGAGCCACCAAATTGAGGCTTCTTGGGGTGACTTTGGTCTCAGACACCCCCTTTCCCCAGGATCAGAATAGAAAATACATGGAAGATGGGGATCTTATTAAAGAAAGACTTGCTTTTGGCTGGTGTCCAGGCTTAGAACTTGCCATCGTGGTAGGAATGAAATTCTACACCCCCATACTGTGTGTGTGTGTGTGTGTGTCTGTCTGTCTGTGCGTGCCACGTGCACACTTGTGTGGATGTGCATGCTTACACACAGGGAGACCAGAGGAGAGCTGGTTAATGTTTGTGACCAGCAGTGCCTAAACTAAGGAAAACCCTCCGAGCCTGTAGCAGAAATGAATTTGTACAGTGGGAAAGGGAAATGTGACATTAATTTCATAAATATTTATAGAACCCCCTACTTTAGGCCAGATGCTGGAGATAAAAACCCAAAAGCATGACCCAGGTTCATATTCTTGAGTGAAAAGATGGTAAAAATACCAATTACAAGCTTGGGTGTTGGTGCTGTTAGAGAACTGCAGTATATGCAGAGCGGCTGGTCCTAAGAGGAGGCCCAGGTGGGCCAAGGGGGTGCTCTCCTATAAGCCTTCAGAGCTGAGCTGGCCCTGCAGGGGGCAGTAAGTAGGGACCCTTCCTTGTAAGGAGGTGGCTGGGTAACTCGGTGAGATCTGGCCGGGCCTGGGGCTTTGTGGCTGAGATTGAGGAGGGCCTTGCATGCCCCTGTGCGGTTTTGGCCTCACCTGGGAGGTTAGATGCAGAAGAGTAAGGGGCTGACAGCTCTCTGTTAGAAACGTGATCCCAGAAGCACTCTCACCAAATCTCAGACGTCATCACTTATGTTATGTGCCCTTAACTGGAAGAACATATTTTGCCAGTTAAATTATGATGTGCTGTTGACCACATTTCAGATGTACAAAGAGTGTCTCAAATTTGATGAAAAATAGTAACTGTAGCTGCTGGCTTAGTTAGATGCCTTCTTCCCCATGTATGTGAATAGTTAGACCATCTCCAGCTCATTGGCCCACAGATGTTGAGTTTTCAAGCTCCAAATGATCTAAAAATCACTAAATTTGTTAAACTGGTCTTTCCTGATGGCCAGTTTGCCAAAAGTCAGCCTGAAAATATAAGTGATTGTGACCCAAAGCTTTCAGCTATGTGTATTCTACTTCGGTTACTTTTAATAACAGAAGTGACTGTGTTACACATGAAATAGGCCAGTGTACCTATCTTCCTGAGACGGCCTTTGTCTTCACCTTACCTCCATTTTTTTCACTGTTATGTGGAGGCCCACAAAGTTCAAGAATCTAGCTTTGGGCTGCAGAGCAGGTTGCTGAGGCTTGATAAAAATCCAGAGGTTTTAGCCTTAACCCAGAACTCTTCACTCTGAGCCTGGGTTAGAAAGCAGGCGAGGGTGAAGGAGATTCTGCCTCTTTCCTCCTTCACAAGTCCTAGGAGTTGTGGGCAGGGGCCCGGTGCCCGGAGCAGGTTGGAGATCTGTAGAGCCCAGCAGACGGTGTCCAGCCGGGAGAAATTGGAGAGAACTGCCCCTTCGTGTTTGCATTTGTAGTAAGACCTCTCTGTCTAGCTGAATTGGCTAATTTTCTGTACAAGCTGTCTGTGTACAGTATTTTAGCCCAGAAGTCTTCTGTGTTAACCAGTATGCTTTCTTCATATGATAGACAAGTCCAAGCTGGCTGGACAGACAGAACATTTATTGGCTCCCTGGACTGAAAAGTTTGAGGGTAGGGCTAGCTTTATGCGTAGACTGACACATGGTTTGAAAAGATGCCAGCAGGATCTGGTTTTCTTTTCATTTTTCTGGATTGTGCATTTGCAAAGAGACTAACCTGGTTAGCAGGATCATACTGTGTAGGCTGTGGTTTCCTCGCCTCTGACAGGTTCCTAGGAGACCGGAAGGGATCCCCTTAGCCAGGTCTTCTTTGGCTGTGGTAGAGTCTTAGTCTCACCTAAGGCAGGATTGTGTTACTGGTTCTTGAACTTCACCCTAAGCGGTGAGGTCCAGAAAGGAATTGGGTAGTTATCCAAAGCAAGAAGAATAGAACTAAGGGGTGCCTCCCCTCCCCTGGGGCAAATATTTATAACACATTTGGGGGTATTGTCAACTGCAGCTGTAGGATTATTTGACTTGTTGCTGGACCTATCTCGTGCTGTTTCTTTTCCCTTTTTTGAAGTATTTTATGCGCGCGCACACACTCGTGATTCTATTGCCCATCCACGAGATCAGCAGGAATTTTAAAGCAGTAGCAGATTTTAGTGAGGCCATGGACAGCATGAGTGGTGTCGCCTTTTGCGGGGTGCCTCCCCTTGGGCTGTGGCAGTGGAGCGGGGGCTGTTTCCATGTGCCTGTGTGCCAGCATGTGTGTGCACATGTGTTCACGGGAGCAGACTTTGTAATGGTCCTTCGCTGGAAATAAGCCCGATGACCCTAGAAGTAGGCAGCACCACAGAATTGACGTAGCTGTTTGCACCAATGAGAATGGACACTGGCAGCTCTCAGATACCATGCGAGATGGCCAGTTTAAAAATAGACAAGTAGGGGCTGGGAAGAGGGCTTAGTAGAAT